AAGTAATTACTTTTTTACAGCCAGCAATTATCATGAAAGTAGGTTCTAACGTCATACTTATAAATAATTACTTTAAAATCACCTTTAAATTTAAATCTCCCTCATTCTCACTTGTTCATTAAAACAAAAGGTTCTCTTTTGGAGGTGGGTGATAAAATTGATAAACTTCTTGCTAGACTGATGAAGGAAAATTTTGAAGACAGATTCCCAGAATGCAAAAGAGAACATTACTACAGATCCTATAATAAAAGATTATTATGTTCAACTTTATGCCAAGAAATTTAAAACTTAGATGAAACATACAAATTATCGAAACTAATACAAAAAGAAACAAACTCTGACTAGCCCTAAATGTATGTTTAAAAGTTGAATGTATAATTTAAAACCTTCCCTCAAAAAAATAACTCCTGGCTCAGATGGTTGTACTAGTTAATTTTATCAAATATGTAATTCACCCTTTAACAGACTAAAAAGGAAAAGAACATATGATCACCTGGACAGAGGGAGAAAAGCATTTGATGAAATTAAGCACCCATTCATGTTAAAAGTAAAACTCTTGGAAAACTAAGAATAAAAGGGAACTTCCTCAACCTGATAAAAAGCATCCACAAAAAACCTACAACTAACAGCATACTTAATAGTAAAAAACTGAACATTCTCTCTCTAAGATCAAGACAATGGTAAAGAGTTCCATTCTCAACACCTCTATTCAACATGGTACTACAATTTTCGTCAGTGCTATAGCCAAAATAATTATTATTTATTATTATTATTCATGCCTATAGCACCTGGTCTTCCTAGGTGGTCTCCCACCCAAGTACTAACCAGGCCGGACCCTGCTTAGCTTCCGAGTTCAGACATCAGGCTTATTCTGGGTGGCATGGCCATAGACCATGGACCATGGCTCCACTGGGGTGCAAACCCAGGACCTTCTACGTGTAAAGCAAATGTGCTAACCACTACACTATGGAAAGACGTCTCAAAAAAATTTTTAAATAAGATCTAAAGATATATATATTGGAAAGGAACTAGTAAGTAATTTGCAAAACCAGAATATATAAGCAACTTCTACAAACTCAACACTTGAAGACAGGCAAGTTAATTTTAAAAATGGGCATTTGAATTAGGCACTTCACAAAAGCAATATAAATAGCCAACAAGCACATGGAGATTTTCAATATCACTAGTTATCAGAGAAATACAAAGTAAAATCACAATGAGATAACACCACACATTCACAGAATGGCTAAAATTCGAAGGATATAATATCACATGTTGGTGAGGAGTGGAGCAACTAGAATTTTCATGCTTGCTGGTGAGAATTTAAAATGGTATTACCTCTTTGAAAAATTGTGTTTCCTATAAGGTAAACGTATAGTCTAGCAATTGCACTCTTAGGTATTTACCCAGAAGAAATAAAAATAAATATCCACAAAAAGACTTGTATGCAAATGTTTATATTAGTTTTATTTATAACAGCTCCCAAATGCAAACAACCCAAATGTCCATCAACAAATAAACTGTAGTATACCCAAACAACTTGGCTTCCCCTCCGAAAAAAGGAAAAGTTTAAAGAGAAACAGGGTAATTCCATAATGTTGACTAGTTAATATTACTAATAATCCAACCTATCAAAATTATTTACCCTGTTATTATGCTGAGAAGGGCACATCACATCTGTGGTAGTCTTCCCAAATATGCATAATACTTCAATCTATTCATGAAAAACATCAGATAAACCCAAATTGTGAAAGAGTCTACAAAATACCTAACCAGTACTCTTCAAAAGGTCAAAGAAAGACAAGGACAGTCTTAGAAACTGTCACAGCAGAGCCTGAAGAAATATGACAATTAAATGCAATTGGGATTCTGAACTGGATTCTAAATTGGAATGAAGAATTTTAGTGGGAAACTGGTATAACCTGAAAAATGTCTGTAGTTCAATAAATATTATACTAATGTTAATTTCTTAGCTCTTATAATTTTACTATGGCCAACTATAGTCATATAAGATGTTACCATTAGGAGAGAGTAAACTCTTGCTATTTTTGCAGCTCTTCTATAGGTCTAAAAATTATTTCAAAGTAAAAAGTTCTAAAATGTTAGAAGAAAAAAAAAAAAAGAATGAACTACTCACTGACAGACACAACATAAATGAATTGCAAAAACACTATGTTGAGTAAAAAAAGCCAGACAAAAGAGTACATACTGTATGTTCTATGTATATGAAATTCTAGAAAAGGCAAAATCAATCTACAGTGACAAAAAGCCTTGGGGCATAGGGGACACGGAGAGAGAACTGATATCAAAGAGGCAATGAGGGCACTTTCTGGAGTGATGGAAACATTCCATGTGTTGACTGTGGTGGTAGTTACAGAGGTGTATACATTTTCTAAAACTCCATTTATGTATTTAAAATGCATGTGTTTTATTGTATGTAACTTATTCCTAAATAAAGTTTATTAAGTTCATATTTAAAAGTATCTCGCTTGGATAAATAGCCCTAGTGTATACTGGGTAAACTAAAGTACCACGATTGATTCAAACTGATATTAAAACAAGCACCCAAACTGTTTATTCAATAAATATTTACCGAGCACCTACTATATGCCAGGCTTTAGGCAACATATAGGATATAAATGTAAAAAAGAAAGCCTTTGCCCTTGAGGAACTCACGGGCCAATAGGGAGACAGGGCAAGTAAACGAAAGCTGCAAGTGACATAAAAATTGTTCTGAGAAAACAATGTTCCAAGCATTGCACAGAGAAGACAATGTCTCAGAGAAGTCTTCAGAAAGAATACAGACCCTTTCCAAGAATTTACCCTGTGAGGCTACGACTTTTATTCTAGGAACATTTATCTCAAATACTCAAGGCTTTCAAAAAATACTTCTTTCAGTCTTGTCTGTATACTTCATGGCACATTATTCTGATAAAAAGTCCTCAGTTGTACTTCAAGGGTATGGTTCGTTTGTTTTTTAAATTATTCACAGATAAAAATAAATGCCATTCTGAAAAACAGGTGAGAGTATATAGTCAATAAGTCTGTTTTCCTGTGAGCTTTATGAAGCTGAGGCACTACCACAAGAAGAGTAACAATGTTTTCACCCAACACAGAACTGTTGAAATAATGTATAGTCCCACAAGGGGCCTATATTAAAGGGCTTTGCCCTTTTGAGTGGTTAAGTCCTGGTTTGACTATTTAATGTGGGAGTTTATTGAAATTATACCTCACTATAAATTGCCATTATTCAAATGATAATTTAAACATATTATATACATGTATGCTTAGGTCTGAATATTATTTCAACTATATTGAAGTTAAATGTCCTTGGACAAAGTCCTTAATGTCTTAGTGTCATCTGTAAAATGAAGACAATAATAGTAGCGTCTTCCTCATAGTGTCTGCAAATATTAAATAAGTGATGTAAACGAGATAATCCATGTAGTAAATGAGAAAACCTATATAAAACACTTGGACCAGAGCTTGGCATATAATAAATACTTAAAAACTGTTAATAATCACTATATTAGGGTCCAGACTAAGAGTAAGTATTTAAATATGAAGTGAGGTTAAAAAAAAACAAACAAAAATAAGAAATCATAAGGTATTTTTAAAGTTTAGAAACTAAAATTCAGTGACTTTTTCAATAGGAGAACTCATTTTTTCATTATTCTGTAGGGATAGCTACTACTGTAACAAAATCGCCAGGCACACTACAGGTTTTCAATACTTTTGAACTATTTCAGCATAATAAGATTGTCTTAATAACTAAGGGGAAAAAGTTTGTCACTTTTTGACCCCATTAACTTCTATTTCTGCCTAGATAATATCTCTTTCAGATACCTTACCATTCCTTTCCCTGGTGAGCTAGAATTTTAGGAGACACTGTAGGATTTTCTCCCAATTTGGACAGCAAGATCTACACTGTTTTCTGACAAGTGCTCCCAAAAGTGCCTGTGTTCAATTAGGAAAATATAAAAGAATCAAAGTGCTGCCAAAAAAAAAAAAAAAAAAAAAAACCAACAAAAAAAAAACCCAAAGACCCTTTAAGGCAATAAAAAGCCAAATAAGAGTATGGATGGAACAAAAATTCAAATCAATAAATCAATTCTGTATATGTTTTTAATACATAACTTGTTTGGTAAATATCATGGCCACATCTATGTGGCAAGTACCTATAAACTGCATCTGTTCATTTTTGTACATTTATATTATTCATTGATATTTGTAGCCTAAATTGAACATCAAATTGAGATTTGTTTGAGACGAAAGTCAGTTTTCTAATACTGTTATATAAATTTCCTGAAGTGAATTTATACAATTTAAAGGTTTTTGTATATATAAAAACAATACATTTTAGAGAAAATTTGGTTCTTTTCTAAGTTATCATTGCTGTACACACGTGCAAGCACACATATAGATGCACATATGCTCAAATCTGTCTCTCATCCCTACTTCTTAAATGACATTTTCATTAATATTTGTACCAGACTGCAAATATTTTAATAAAAACTATATAAATTCTGAAAAGATGTTGTAACTATTGATATACTGATTACTTCAAATATATCTCAAAGATAAAAATGAAAAACAGCATAATGCTGGTGTTTAAGGTATTTGATAAAGAACAAAGCTAACGGCCCTAGTTTTTACAGTCTTTACATAACATGTGTGCAACTGTTTCAATGAAAAATACATTTCCATTTGTCTTAAGAGAAACATTAAAATTTTTAACTGATACAAGTTTACCTTATGGTAGAGTAAGAGATATAAAATTCCATCCTTGAAGAACATCTTAAGAGAATAAAAGCCAAAAGTGCCCAATCATCAGATCTGGTAATTTCTATATTCACAAACTTCAATAGAAGCAGCTTGATAATAAGAGCTTTTGGCAGCTAAATATATGATTGAATCAACAACTGTTGATTGAATTGCCTACTGTGGACCCACTGTATTATATCCAAAGCAACGTGAAGCAATCAAAAAGTGCTACTCACCAGCAAGTGTATAATCCATATCAAAACCAAAACACTTAATTTTCTCCATGGCTAAACTTCGATTCACAAACACCCTAAAGAAAGGAGTAAAAAATGGTATTTCAATTAACACTGAAACAAAAAAATTATTAAGTTTAATAGAATTATTTTACTATCTAGATTTTCTCATTTAAATATCAATATTAAAAGTCATCATAAAAATTATTCAAGTCCTTCTTATACCTTAAGGGAAAGCAGATATTATATGAAAATATGTGTATTTTCTTATTGTGTCTTGGTATTAACAATGCTACTTACTCAAAATTTCAGAGAATCAGCTCTCTTTTTCAAAATATCACCCTTCAAATAAGTTTATTTCTAAGATTTATAACTCATTCATTCATTCTCCATTTAATAAACAAAGGTTCATTTCAGCCTACCAGATACTATATACATAAATGTAAACAGATTCATTCAACAAATACTTACTGAATGCCTACTAAATACCAGGTACTGTGATATGGCAGGGAACAAAAGATTACCTACTCTCATGAAATTCTATTCTAACACAGAATATCCTCCCTTGAGAAATTCAACCTAGTAGAAGAGGAACTTACAAGCAAATAATTATAGTAATTCAATAAATGCTATAAAATATCATGCATGAGACAGCACCAGTTGTTTAGAAACCAGAAGAGATGTCTGAGGTGAATCTTAAACAATCAGTAGACGTTTTCTAGTAGAACAAAGCAGAAAAGGCAATTCAGGCAGAATAACCGAGCAAGCACAGGATTTATAATAAACAATAAAACAGTTATTGTGGCTGAAGCTGAGGAGTTTTCTTTGGTTTGCTTTTCTGTTTGTCTTTGCAAAAGGAGGTTTTCTAGAGGAGCTGGGGCAGGAAGAAGGGGCAATAAAAGCTATGAAGCTAAAAAGGTTAATAGGTCAAAATCATGACGATTTTGCATGCCATATTAGGGGGCATGGACTTTATTCTGCAGGCAGAACAAATTACCAAATTTTGAGGAAACGAAATAATCAGATTCAAATTTCAGAAAGATCACTATGAAAACAGGGAAAACTAAACATATAATAAAGAGTATGGTAGATCATCATCCTGATGGTGTTTTGGAGTAAATTTTAATCATCTTTGAAAGTAAGAACATTCTTTCCATCTAATCTGCAGCTTAGTGGCCAAAATTACTGAATGATTTATCTTTATTATCGAACCTTTTCTTTGCCTTTATTTCATAAGTAACAGTGAGAAATGACTGCTTCAAATCACCTAGGAAACTTAAGAATAAAGACGCCTGGGCTGGGCTTCTTCATTAATGATCTAGGTCAATAGTCTCCAAAGAGGTGTGACTGCACCCAGATATGCAGAATATTCCACTCGAATGCAAGAAAATATTCGATCTTCTGCTGATATTTATTTCATCATTTTAAAATGTATAATTTGTGTGTTTTCTGCCATATATAAGTAAAGACAATAGTATAGATAATTTATGAATAAGTACTTACAGGAATGAATGTTACATATTTTAACTAATGGAATACTCAAAGAGTTTTTGGAAACTACTAATCTAAGTACTGACTTTTTTTTTTTAACTCTTCACTAACATATATAATACTGTTTTAAATTTTAATAGAAAACTTTTCCTCTTATCTCAGAATGTATGCACCAACTTTAAATGCAGACAAATAACCAAATATTAACTTAAAACTACTTTAATCAAGGACTTAAACTCAGCAGGCCCTTGAATTCAGAACTTTTATCTCCCTAAAAATATGAAAATCATTACTTATCTCATGTGCTATGCACAGATTAGCTCTATAAAACTCTTACTTCCTAAGAGAGATATTA